CGCACGCACGCACGCACACGCAAACGAACATAAGCAAACATACAGGTACATAGACCATGTAATCCCAGGCCACTACGGTTGCTCCAAGCTTCTCCAGTTGGTCACCCAAACTTCATCCTGGTCAATCCGGTCTGGTTCAACGCGTGCAAAGACGCATGGACCAGCAGCTTCGGGGTCTGACTGGAGAAAGCTATTTAGACTTCAGGAATCAGAGGAGGAACTCAAAGATGTGACCGAGCCATTGAAACCACTCTGATGCCGAACATACTCGAACATGTCGACACTGAACGCCCCACATCTAACCACCCCCAACTGCCTGGAACCTCGGAGCGCAGCAGAGGCCCACATCGTAGTTGCACTCGTGACAGCCAAACATCCTTCCAGGAGCACAGGGCTGGAGAGTGCCAAGCATGCATAAAGCACTGTGGCGCCTGCCGGCATCCTTCGAGCCCCGATAGAAAATTCTTGATGCAACCCATCGCCAACCCATCTGCATTGGAGCGCCCCTCTGGGGTGGAGGACGAGGTACGGCTGGCATTCGGGGGTTCATGTGAAGGGTGAAGCGAAGTGCAAGATCTTACAATCTCGCCCCAAGGCCTCACGAAAGGACGCTGGTGCTCACCACAAATGTCGCACCTGAGGAACGAAGCCGATTCAGACAATTTGAAGAAGCCCCCCCCCATCCCGATCTTGCTGCCCTTAACATCGATAATCCTGAACCCTTACATTCCCCCGGACCCTAAAGCGAGGAAGATCCGAATGAGGATCTTGTTTCTGCGCTGAGGCTTCCTAACGGATTTAGAATGCGGAAAAAGATGCAAGCCGGGCAGGGGATGACATCGCGCATGGCGTCGAGATACCCTCGAGACAACCAAAACTGAGCCCCTGCTCATACATCCTCGCGAACCGTAGAACAACTCGAACTCAGAATCCATCACACACAAGTCGAAGCCCTGAAACACACAGACCTCGAGCCATGCACAAGCATAAGCCCTAAACTGCATGTATGTCACTCTGAACGAACGTATACCGCTGGTTGCCCATGAGGCACATCAGTCTCGGCTTCAACGCTGAGAAATACTCTACCATGTCGTGGCCACCAGGGCAGGAGGGGCGTCCCTGCCAAGCATCACGCATCAACGGCTGTAAGTGTGCAAATGTTTTCGCCGTGGATTTGAACTACTTTGCCGCTTGACTCGACATTTCGGGATTTGATGCACCGAGGAAGGTATGTGTATCTATGGTCGAGGCTACGTGCAAAGTGGCACCAGGTTGTAGAAAGCTGCACATGAAAAATTGTTTGGCTCAGTTTGCTGCGACCTGAGGCCACCAACATTATTTCGAGGTCTCATCTTTCGTTCGAAAGCCCTTCTAGCCGGATGGAAACCCAACTGACAGACTACCACTAGCAGAAACCCGTCCGCCCAGGCAAGCCGAAGCCAGACAAAGATAAATTCCGCATCTCGAGCTCTTTGATAAGTGGAAGGTCGAGACTCTCAGTGCACGCTTTACAGTCATCTGCTTGTTCAGTCTCTTCGTAGTGCTTCCTCCAACATCTCAACTCGAAAAACATGTTTCAATCGCATCCTCCACAGCAGATCGCGGCCTTTAGGCTCGCATCCTCACTGCTCGTGGCAGGCTCTGCCTCTGCAGAGGCCAGTGAGGGACAGGCCGTTGAGCTGGTGAGAGCTCTGTCATTCGGTCGCAGCTCAAGGTATTGAGGGCTTAGATTCGTTGGCGATGGCGCAGCGCACACATCTGCGGTTCTGAAAGCACACGGCCGCCACAGAATCCGATCGTCCCAAGCTGCAAGCTGGCGACCCTCGTTAATCTGAAAGCTTGAGGAATCTCTTCCTGCAACTCCCTCTATTGCTGTCGCTGCCATGTCCTGACCAAACACAGACTGTAGCAGACCCCAACGCTTTCGTGAGCGCTGGAGCACTGAACCCGAAACTGCCGAAAACTTCGAGGCTGATATCCCTGAACCCAAATCCGAGAATCCACTTCTCCAAACTCAAAAACACCCCATCCTCCTCGGAGATGCCAACGTCACCCTCGGGGTGCCAATAGGAAAACCAGGTGCCATACCTGAAGACACCCACTAAAAAGGCATAAGTGCATGTGTCAAAAACAGTTTGCCAAAAAAACACTAAAGCTCCAAAACATCTAGCTATACGCTTGCACATGTACATCTGTATACATACATACATACATAC